CTGGCCACCGCGCCTTTTTAGTTTTGAATGTGTGTGTTTTTGTGTTACGTGTCCGGACCGGAAGGTCGTGTGGCCAGTCACAGCACTTCCCCAGCCCCATTCACGGCGCGCTACACCGTCCCGAGCGTTGTTAGCATCTATTCCCAGGCTGGGGACATGATCATCCCCGTTTGGCCATTGATGGAATGAGCCCTGCTGCCCGAGGGAGGGGTCCTGGAGCACGAAAGGACACGTAACCGAAAACTGTTTTTTCCCCATTTCTCCTCCAGCGGAAGTAGATTGCAAAGTACAGGTGTCGGAAACAATTAAGCAACACTCATGCAGAGCATATGGTTGGAACCTCCCCCCCCTCCCCCAAATGCAACGTTGGTTTCGGGTCTTCCGATTTTGGGCCTCCGAGCGGTCTTGCGAAAACCTGTCAACTTTGAATTGCGGGGGAAAGGGGGAGTGTTGCTTAATTGTTCCCCTCAACCGTAGGACCCCCAGGGGGGCCCTGGTAGCCGGGAAACCATGGGCTCTTTTTCTGTTTTCTCCTGCCGGGGCTCTGCGGGTCCCCTTTTTAGGGGTCGGCTGGCGCGCAGGCGAGAGCACCGCTCTCGAGTGGCACGGCAGGCCGCCAAGCAGTGGCGAAGCGTCCCGGCTCGCCTACAGCCTCACCACACAATGTTCTAAGAACTTTTTGTGGTTCCCACGAAATGTTCTTAGAACATTTCTGGCTAGGACTGTCTTGTTTTAACACATCGGGTTTATGTTATCAGAACATTGCTTTTGTTCTTAGAGCATTTGGGGGTTCTACGAACATTTCATGGTATGACTATAGGAATGCCGGGACGGTCGGTCCCTGCTGCGCCCCGTTCCTCGTTCGTCGTCGTCGTGAGGGTGTGTCCGCGCATGTCGTCAGCATTGCCATCGCCATCGTTCGTCGCTCGGAGTTCGAACCCGAGGGGTAAGACACGACCGTGTTGCAAGGATTGCGCGTGCGGGCACATCGGGCTCGATTCCCACTGCAAAACCAAATCGTTTTCAGGAAGTTATCCAGTTTGTAGCGATTTGTCCACAAATTACATTTCTTTCGTGTTGCGACCCTGGCTCAGAACCCGAATCCAAGACGTGAAACGCGAACGTTATGGAAGGATGGTGCGTGTGGCCCCAGAGGGCTCGATTCTTATCGCAAAACCAATGCGTTTTCAGGAGGTTCTGAGGTATATGGCATCTTCTGCAAATTAAATGTTCTTCGTGTTGCGACCCAGGCTCAGAACCCGAACCCAAGACGTAAACACGAACATTACGGAAGGATTGCGCGTGTGGCCCCAGAGGGTCCGATTCTTGCTGCAAAACCAATAAGTTGAAAGGAGGTTATCCGGTTTGTGCCGTTTTCTGCAAATTGCGTTTTTTTCGTGTTGCGACCCCGGCTCAGAGGCCGAATTCAGAAGGTAAATCGTCACCGTAGTCGTCGTTGTCGATGCCGTCGCCGTCGCCGACGCCGTCGTCGTCGTGGTCGCCCTCGTCCTCGTCCTCGTCGTCACCCTCGTTGTCGTCGTCACTTTTGTCGTCGTCGCCGTCGTCGTCGCTTTCGTCGTCGTCGTCCTCGCCCTCGTCCTCGTCATCGTCGCCCTCGCCGTCGCCGTCATCGTCGTCGTCGTCGTGTCCTCGCCCTCGCCGTCGCTGTCGTCGTCGCCGTCGTCCTCGTCGTGGTCGTCGACGTCGGCCGCTCTCGTCGCCGTTGTCGGTGTAGTCGTCGTCGGTGTCGTCGTCGTCGTCGTCGTCGTCGTCGACGTAGCCGTCGCCGTCGCCGTCGTCGTCGTCGTCGTCGTCGTCGTCGTAGCCATCGCCGACGTCGTCGTCGTCGTCGTTGCTTTCGTCGCCGTCGTCGTCGTCGTCGTCGTCGCCCTCGTCGTCGTCGCCATCGGCGTCGTCGCCGTCGTCGTCGTCGTCATCTTCGTCGTCGTCGTCGTCATCGTCATCGTCGTCGCGTTCGTCGTCAGCGTAGCTGTCGTCGTCGTCGTGGACGTCATCATCGACCCCGTCGTCGTCGTCGTCGTCGCCGCTCTCGTCGCTGTCGTCGTTGTCGTCGTCCTGGTCGTCGTCGCCGCCGCCGTCGTCGCCGTCGCCGTCGTCGGATTCGTCGTCGTCGTCGCCGTCGCCGCCGCCGTCGTCGTCGCCGCCGTCGTCGTCGTCGTCGTCATCGTCGTCGCCGCCGTCGTCGCCGTCGTCGTCGTCATCAGGCGAGTCGCGGGTGGGTCGCGGGCGTCGCGCCGGCCCACGCGCCCCCTCACTCTTATCCGAAGCTGCGGGGTGCTACGAATTATGATGGTCGTAAGTGTCCTGGTGCTCTCGATCTCGGTGGTACCCCAGGTCTT